TTTTTTTTTTTTTTTTTTTTGCAGTTTTTGGTCAGGGCTGGGTTTGAACCCACGCTCTTTAAGTCTTCAGAACTCAAGCCCTCTCTTTGGGTCACTCATTTGACAATGAGGCACGGAGTGTGTTCTCTTAATTTTAACCTTTCATATTTGTGTGCTTTCCCTCAAATTCAATGTAATCCGTTAGCTTTATTTTTTGGGAAGGTTTTAATTCCTTTTTTTTTTTTTTTTAATCTCTTGGACAGTGGCTCACCGTAACCCCAGCACTCCGGGGAGGCCAAGGCGAGAGGCTCCCCTGAGCTCAGGAGTTGGTGACCAGCCTGCACCAGAGTAAGACCCCGTCTCTACTAAAAGCAGAGACAAGCTGGCCGGGAGTGGTGTCGGCGCCCATAGTCCCACCTGCTCGGGAGGCTCAGGCAGGAGGCTCTCTCGGGCCCAGGAGTTACGGTCGCCGTGAGCTGTGACGCCGCAGCACTCTGCCCAGGTCGCCCGAGTGAGACTCACGGAACGCGCCGACCCCACCCCTCATTGGGGTTTCCTTCTTCCTCACTCGACACGCCCGCCCCGGCGACTAGTCTGGAAACGGCGCCCCCGGGCCGGCGCCCGCACCGGCTGTCCGCACCCTCCGAGCGCTCGAGGCCGGGGCTGCGGGGCGCCGCCCGCTTCCGGCCAGGCGGTTCCTCCGCGAAAGCCGCGAGCGCTTGCGGACCCCGGGGCCGGGCGTGGGGACGAGCGCGCCGCCCGCTCTTGCAGAGTGCCCGACCGCCACGAAGCGACTGCCACGTCAGGACAACTTCACAAAACCCGGACGAGAGCGGGTGACGCAAGCCAGGGCCGCGGAGGGGCTGGGTCCGAGGCCAGGCCAGGAGGCTGACCTCAGCCCGGGCGCCCGGTTCCGCGACGCCCCGGCCGGCGCCGGCGCCTGCCCGGCTCTCAGCGAGGCGGGGGAGCAGGAGGAGGCGGCCCGCCGGGAAGCCCGCGCCTCGCCCGCACCCTCCGCGCCGCGTTCGCAGTCCGGGCTGCACTGGCCGGTGTCTGCGGGGCTCTCTGGCCAGGCCCCGTGTGCCCGGCCCGCGCCGAGAACCGGGCAGCGGCGGTGCGGAGAGGAGGTGGCAGGAGGCCGCGAGGCCGGAGCCGGGCCGGCGCCCTGCCATGGAGGCCCGCTACAACCTGAAGAGTCCGGGTGAGGAGGGCGCGGGCCGGAGGCAAGGGAGCTCTGGGTTCCGGCCCCTGCGCCGCGGTCCCCGGAGTCGGCCACTGCCCGCGGCTCCGCCCCGGGTTTCGCGCTCTACGCGAGACCGCCGCCTGTCCGGGAAGTGCAGGCCGCAGGGCGGGGTGGCCGGGCGGGAAGCCGCGGCGGTCCCGGGGACTGCTCGGCGCCCCGCAGCGCTAACCCTCCCTCCCTGGTCTTCGTCCCTCAGTTCTAGGCCACACGCTTGTCCCCGCGGTGGGTGGAAAGGTGACGGCCGCGGGCCCTGGTCAGCAGCCTCTGCCGTGTGTGCACCGTCGTTACCCCTCACCGGACTTAACTAGCAGTTTGAGTCGCATTTGGGGATTTGGTTGTTTAAATATCTACTTGCAGCATTTGGGGCGAACAGAAAATGTTCTTTAAGCTAGCGAACCAAAGAGCTTAAAAAAAAAAAAAAACAAACCCAAACCAAACAGAACAGGTAGATGAGCTCTCATGTACTTAGAGGTAACCTTGATTTTGGCCAAGCTGGTTGATGTGAAATTATATCTGAGTTAAGTCAAAGGTTTCCTTTCCTATATTTAATGCTCCTGCTTCGTTTCACAAACAACCCAAACAGTCGTCGCTTGCTGTTATTTTCTGGTGCATTATAAAGTTATAAATAAAGTATCCAGCTGCCTCAGATTAAAGGAAGCCTGAAAGTAATCATTGGATTCTTTTTTTTTTT